GGCCTAACATTTTCCCCTTGCTCCTGTCTTCTGCCTCTGACCACTCTCGTGTCTTTCCCATGTGCCTCTGCATGGTGTGTTGTGCTTCCTGTCTCCAGGACCTGTAAGTGTAATAAACTTTGCTTTTCGGTGCCTCTCCTATGTCTCCTCTTGTGGCCGCACCTGACTGACCATCACATAAAATAATACAGTACGATAAGAAAACAGAGACCCAGGGTACAGGAGAATCATGAGAAACTTTGAAAGAAAGTGAGAAGGTTTATAGGAGGAGGGAGATAAAAGCATCAAATACTGTACAGATATGAAATATGCCACAGAATTTAGAAAGAGTCTTGACTTTGACCCTGGGACAACTTGTCCCTAGTGAACTTTGCCAGAGTGGTTTTAGTAGAGTGGTTTCAGTGGAGTACTCAGGGGCAGAAGCTTGACTGCATTGAAAGAAAAGGTAAAGAAGTACAAACTGTAGGTGAGGAGGATTCTTTGTAAAATACCCATCTCTTGGGGGAAAGGAGATCCAAGAGAGTCTGAGGAAAGTATAGGATTGAGGGCAGGGTATAGGTTTTGTTTTGAGATTGAAGAAATTTGAGCAAGTGTGGGGCTGGGAGCAGCCACTAAAGGAGAGTTGAAAACAGAGAAGAGCGAAGGAATAACTGCAGGCACAACTTGCAAGAGCAGAGGATGCACTAGCCAAAGACACAGGCAACTGCAAGTTGCACAATATCTCCTTCTTCCTATCCCATTTGACAGGCCCATTTACCAGCTGTGTCCCTGGATAAACTGTATGACCTCTTGACCCGAAGCTTTACCATCTGTAAAGTGGTTATTGTCCAAGATCATGAATGGCCTCTGAAAGGAGAGTTCTTTTGATGCCACGATTCCCCAGGATTTTCTGCTGGTGTGTTTTCCCTCTAGATCATTGAGTCAAACTAAGGTTTAAAGCTATTAGTAACTGTTCATTGCTGTTGGGAATGTAAAATGGCACAGCCATTATGGAAAACACTATGGTGGTTCCTCAAAAAATTAATAATACGATCCAGCAATTCCACTTCTAGCTATATACCCAAAAGAATTGAAAGCAGAGACTTGAATAGATACTTGTATATCTATATTCACAAATGCATTATTCATAAAAGCCAAAAGGAGGAAGCAACCCAAGTGTCCATCAATAGATGAATGGATAACAAAATGTGGTATAAACATACAATGCAATAATATTCATTAAAAAGGAAGGAAATTCTGACACATGCTACAATGTGGATGAACCTTGAAGACATTATGCTAAGTGAAATAAGCCAGTCACAAAATGGCATATAATGTATTATTTCACTTGTATGAGGTACCTAGAGTAGTCAATTCCTAAAGATAAAGTAGAATGGGGGTTACTAGGGGGTGGGGGGAGAGGAAAATGCAGTTATGGCTTTGTGGGCACAGAATTGCAGTGTGAGAAGACGAAAACATTTCTGGAGATCGATGGTGGTGATGGTCGCACAACAATGTAAACGTACTTACTTTCAACAACCTGTGCACTTACAAGTGGTTAAAATGGTAAATTTTATGTTACATATATTTTACCACAATTTACAAAATACATTCGCTTAAGTAAAACAAAATGTTTACAACTAGTAGAAAAAACCCTATAAATTTCACGGTGTAACTTTTCTCATACATAGCAACAGGCCCAAGGATATTACTATCCAGAAGAATATAACTGATACTTTAACACTAGCTTCTAGTTGCCAAGCAAAGATTAAATTATGGCCCCTATACTCTCATTATACCAGATAGGTAAGAACCACATTTTGCGAACATTTCCATCAAAAATGCTTTCAGTGAAAAAGTTTTGATGCTTTCAAACTTACCTGTTTGAAAATTTCCTGTTGTCAGATAATGAGACATAATAATTGATAAGATATCAGAGTATGAAAAGACATTGTAGGGCCGGGCGCGGTGGCTCACGCCTGTAATCCCAGCACTTTGGGAGGCCAAGGCGGGTGGATCACGAGGTCAAGTGATCGAGACCATCCTGGTCAACCTGGTGAAACCCCATCTCTACTAAAAATACAAAAAATCAGCTGGGCACAGTGGCACGTGCCTGTAATCCCAGCTACTCAGGAGGCTGAGGCAGGAGAATTGCCTGAACCCAGGAGGCAGAGGTTGCGGTAAGCCGAGATTGCACCATTGCACTCCAGCCTGGGTAACAAGAGCAAAACTCCGTCTCAAAAAAAAAAAAAAAAGACATTGTGGGCAGAAAAAATTTCATTTGAAAATCTGCTGGAATACTTAGAGTTCTTCATAGAAACCCTCAGAGGCCTAGAGGCTCCTAAGTGTTGTACACAAATTTACAGGAAAGAAATACCAGTAGAGTATCCCTACTATGAAAATCTGAAATCCAGAATGCTCCAATGAGCATTTCCTTTGAGTGTCATGTTGGCATTCAAAAAGTTTTGGATTTGGAGACATTTTGGATTTTGGATTTGGGGATTAGGGATGCCCAACCTGTATATTCTTTTCTGGATAAGTCCTCGTCACTTACAAATAATGTCAATAATAGTCACAAGGAAACAAGCAAACTAGCCTACAAGAAGCCCCTGTCCTTGCTTCCTGATACTAGGTGGGGAAACATTTTCCCTAGTTTTTGAGCTGTTACACTGTCCCTCTTCAAGTTTGATATTTCCTATTCTTGTCTCCTAAATATGGGTATTTCCTGAGGGATAGGCCTTGGGCACCTTCTCTTCTCTATGAATACTTTCCCTGTTGAAAAGATCATATACAGATGCTCCTTGATTTATGATGGGGTTATGTCCATATAAGCCCATCATAAGTTGAAAATATTATAAGTCAAAAATGCTAATCTATCAAACATCATAGCTTAGCCTAGCCTACCTGAAACATGCTCAGAACACTTACATTAGCCTATAGTTGGGCAAGCTTATTTAACACAAAGCCTATTTTATAATGAAATGTTGAATATCTCATATGATTGACTACTGTACTGAAAGTGAAAAATAGAATGTTTGTATGAATACTTAAAGTACATTGCTACTAAATATGCATGGTACCATGGCAAAGTCACAAAAATCGTAAGTCAAACCGTCCCATCGGGGACCATCTGTACACCAGTGATTTTAACTACTGTTTCTTCATGAATGACTCACACATTTACATATTTGGGCAGAGCCTCTGTTTCCTGAGCTTTCGTCTTGTATTTCTAACGACTCCCCAGAAACTTTCTCTTGAATATTTTACCACTATCTCAAATTTTACAAATGTATTTGGGCTCTGAATTCATTTTTGCCTTAAAGCCAATTTACCTTATGGACATTCCTTTTCAGCCCCAATTTCTCAGGCTCAAAAATTAGAGTCTTTCCTGATTTCCTTTTTTGTTTTGTTTTGTTTTTTCAGACAGAGCCTTGCTCTGTCCCCCAGGCTGGAGTGCAGTGGTGCAATCTCAGCTCACTGCAACCTCTGCCTTCCAAGTTCAAGCAATTCTCCCTGCCTCAGCCTCCCAAGTTGCTAGGATTACAGGCACCCACCACCATGCCTGGCTAATTATTTTGCATTTTTAGTAGAGACGGGGTTTTACCATGTTGGTCAGGCTGCTCTTGAACTCCTGACCTCAGATGATCCTCCTGCCTTGGCTTCCCAGGGTGTTGGGATTACAGGTGTGAGTTACCATGCCTAGCTCCTTCCCTAATTTCTACCAATCTTTTTCACCCATCATCCACTCAGTAACTAAGGATAGTGCTATAAGTACTATAGTACTATGTGCTAACCAATTGCGCTACTGGGGCTCCAAGATAGTATTATTCATTTGTTGTAACCTTGGTTTTTCTACCTCTTACCTTTACTACCCAACACCAAGACTATCCTATCTTCTCATCCATGCTATCCTATACACTTTTGCTAGGTTAATGTTTCTAAAAATTACATGGAATATTGATAGTTCTGTCATTCATTCTACAAATATTTACTGAGTGCTAACTTCATGTAAAAAGCACAACATGGGGCTGGGCTCAGTCCTGTTATCCCAGAACTTTGGGAGACTGAGGTGGGCAGAGTACTGGAGCCCAGAGTTCGAGACCAGACTGGGCAATACTGCGAAATTCCATCTCTATGAAAAATACAAAACTTAACAGGGTGGTGGTGTGTACCTGTAGTCCCAGCTCTCGGGAGGCTGAGATGAGAGGATCACCTGAGCCCAGGAAGCTGAAGCTGCAGGAAGCCATGATCGTGCCACTGCACTCCAGCCTGGGCGACAGAATGAGACCCTATGTCAAAAAACAACAATAACAAAAAAAACCCAACAATGTTATACACTCCAGAATGTAGATATGCACCAGAAGGGCTTGTTTACAGTTTAGAGGGGGAAAGACTTGCCCATAAATAATTTTAGTTCAAAGTTAGAAAGTGGTAATAAATACATGAAGTTCCAAAAATATGAAGGGCTCTCAATATAAAGAAAAATTATTTCTAGAGTTAATTTTAGAAAAATTATTTCTAAAGCTTTAAATAATGGACAGAATTTCAACATTTGGAGATGATTGGGAGGGACAGGTATTTCATACAAGGGACATGAGCAATCTATAAAAATGTAATGGCCGGGCACGGTGGCTCACGCCTGTAATCCCAGCACTTTGGGAGGCCGAGGCGGGCGGATCACAAGGTCAAGAGATCGAGACCATCCTGGCCAACATGGTGAAACCTCGTCTCTACTAAAAATACAAAAAGATTAGCTGGGCGTGGTGGCGCATGCCTGTAGTCCCAGCTATTCGGGAGGCTGAGGCAGGAGAACTGCTTGAACCCTGGAGGCGGAGGTTGCAGTGAGCCGAGGTGGCTCCACTGCACACCAGCCTGGCGCCTGGTGATAGAGCGAGACTCTGTCTCAAAAAAAAAAAAGTAATGATTTATGCATGAAGTACTTCACAAGGTCTGGTTTACCACTTACTGAGGGAGAATGGAAGGGGAACAGCAGAAAATAAAAAAAAAGTTTTGAATCCAAGTTAATAAACTTGACCTTTAATCTACAGGCAACAGAAAGCCATTGGATCAGCTATTTTGGATCACGGTGGTGCTTGAAGATGACTACACCTATGGCGAGTATATGTAAGATAGGCTAGTAGCAGTGTGATGCTAGAGGCAGGACATCAGTGAGAAAGGTACATGCATTTACACCGTTCAGGGGATGGTTATGAGAACTTTGATTAGGTGGGGGCAGTAGGTAAGAAGATGCTGGAATCACTGTAGGGGTACAATCGACAGGACTTGGCAAGTGATGGGAGCATGAACAAAAAAGAAAGGGCATCAAATCTGTCATCAAAGTTTCCAAGTTGGCTGTATTAACAAAAACGGATGCATAGCCTGGGAAGCAATTTGGGAGGGAAGAGGCCAAGCTTTGTCGGGATATTAAGTGTTTATACATTTGCAGAACATCCCAGAAGGCAGGGCAAGGCTCCTGGAAGTAGCTGGATACGGACAGCTGAAACTGGAGCACAGAGGAGGTATGTTTCCGCAAAACCACATACTAAATGGACTATAGAAATCTTACTACCGAAGCTTGCCCGGGCAGGAGAGAAAACTTAAGCATCCCTTAAGTCATCAGTAATGTCTACTCTTCATGGCCTGCTCTCACCTGAGTTCCCCACGAAGACTCCGGAGCAGGCGGCGGGAAGGAGCCTTTCCCTCCCTTCTCCAAGATTCCCAGAACTTCCGTCTCTACCCGTCACCGGCTCCCAGTCAAAGTGGCTTAATAGACAGCGACGTTTTCGACTGCCCAGCCACCAGGCAGGCTGAAAGCGCAAGGCATCATCCATCTTTAGACAGCTACTTGCCCACACCTCCTCGAGCTCTGGGCGTTGCGCCAATATTTAAAGAAGCGCTCTGTTGCAAAGCGATCTACACAACGAGCCTTAGTTATCGCGAGACTTGACAGGCAGTCTAGCTTCAGCATCGATCCGCCGGAAGCGGAAGTCGGATGGTTGTCTGATTCTAGAGGAAGGGGCTCAGTTACATTGGAGGTCTGGAGTTCCACGGCGTAGTTGGCTAGAGACCACCTCTCCTGTGGTCTCTTAGTGTCTCGCGGGCGGGATTCAGCCCGAGCTGGATAGAGACAGCCCTTCGCGGGTGAGTCGCCCCGGACGCCCGGGAGGAGGGAGCGGGGCGACCGAGTTGGATTGCCGGTGAAGTGTCCTCCGCCTGTGCGGTGAATTTGTACTCTTTGCGAAACCGAAAGCCATTTGCCTCTCACGGCCCATAATTTCCCTCACTTCTGAAAGTGTAAGGTGCTTCGGAAGGGAGCAGATCTGCTAGAACCTTGGTAAACAAGCTGTGATGTGCCTTGAGGACAGACTGGAAAACGCAGTTGAAAAGTCTGCATATCGTCTGTTCTCTACGCTCACCTCCTAGGGCAGCGAAACCCCATTCTGGTTTCAAGGGTTAGTCGCCCGCAGCCGAAGTTTTTTGTGGTTTTATTTGTGGTGAATAAACTAGTAGTGTTCGAGTACAAATCTGAAAGGCTTACCCTAAAAGAACATACATACTTTATGAAGTTCTTATTCATACTTGAACTATTTTGCTTTTGAATGCCCAGAGGACAAATCTTGTAGCTTCTAGCTCTTCACTGTGAGAGCCAGTTCCCTATTTGGAATATTAGCTTTGGAAGTCTTTAGAGTACTTGTTTTGTTTTTTGTTTTGAGACGGAGTCTTTCTTTGTCGCCCAGGCCGCAGTGCAGTGGCGCGACCTCAGCTCACTGTAACCTCCGCCTCCTGAGTTCAAGTGATTCTTCTGCCTCAGCTTCCTGAGTAGTACGGATTTACAGGCGCTTGCCTCCACGCATGGCTAATTTTTTGTATTTTTAGTAGAGACGGGGTTTCCCCCTGTTAGCCAGGATGGTCTAGATCTCCTGACCTCGTGATCCGCCCGCCTTGGCCTCCCAAAGTGCTGGGACTACAGGCCTGAGCCACCGCTCCGGGCCTTAGAGCACTTTTACTCCAAATCTTTCCTTGAGTAAGACGAAAATGCATCACCCTCCCCTCCAAACACCTTTTGAGAGTAAAAGTCAAGTTTGTTTTCTTTCTCCCACAGATTTAACCTAAACATTAAGCAATACAGCTGCCTCAAATCTTTGGGGTAAGTAAAGCTTGGGTCAATTAACATTCTATTTAAATTCCGTTCTCAGTAATAAACAGTTGATATTTGTTTACATGCATGTGGGTGGGGAATCGTCGGAGAACATATGAGAACATAAAAATGGAGTAGCACTTTTTACTTACCTTATGATTTTTACTGCCCATCTGGATTAGGCATGAGTCATCTTTTTAGTGATTTCTGTGATCCTGATAGAATTCTAGGCATGATTTTAATTAGCTGAATTTATTTGAAACTCATTCCTCGGATTTGAGAATTTGACAGATAGTTTGCCAATCCCAGACACACTGAATGTCTTTGATATTTGGTATTTGATAAAGCACGCTAAGAACAATAGCCTGAAAGTGTCAGTCTGGGTGCGATGGCTCACGCCTGTTATCCCAGCACTTTGGGAGGCCAAGGCGGGCCAATCACCTGAGGTCAGGAGTTCAAGACCAGTTTGGCCAACATGGTGAAATCCCATCTCTACTAAAAATACAAAAATTAGCTGGGCATGGTGGTGTATATGTAATCCCAGCTACTCTAGAGGCTGAGGCAGAAGAATTGCTTGACCCTGGGAGACAGGGGTTGCAGTGAGCCGAGATTACGCCATGGCACTCAAGCTCTGGGCAACAGAGCAAGACTCCATTTGGAGGGGAAAAAGAATAAATGGAAAAGAAAATAAGACAGAGTGTCTATATATTGCTTCTTGCAATCCAAACAATAATTTTGGTTTAATTTTGTTGGGGTGAAGGTAGGTAGTATAAATGTTACAAATAGATGCATATGTTTGGAGGAAAGGCAGACTAATGCAGAAGTTATCATAGTAGCTTTCAATATCACATCTCTTTGTCCAAAATGTTTTATTATAAGTTAATACAGTAAGGATATTATTTTGGCCAGGCCCAGTGGCTCATGCCTGTAATCCCAGCACTTTGGGAGGCCAAGGCAGGAGGATCACGGGAGTCTAAGACTTTGAGACCAGCCTGGGCAACATGGCAAGACCCTGTCTCTTCAAAAAAATACAAAAATTAGCCGCTTGTGGGTGGCATGCACCTGTAGTCCAGCATCTTGGGAGGCTGAGGTGGGAGGATTGTTGGAGCCAAGGAAGTCTAGGCTGCAGTTACCTGAGATTGTGTCATTGTGCTCCAGCCTGGGTGACAAGAGTGAGAGATCTTGTCTCAGAAAAAAAAAATGGTTGAATTCAATACCTAAAACTTAGCAAGTCTGAAGGCACACAAAGACTTCCACAAATACCCTCCCTAAAAATTGTTTACTTCTTGGTTTTTCATTATCTAGAGATAGTGTTGATTTTTAAAATTTTTTAAATAAAAGTGTCTTTAAAATTGTACAGAATTTCAGAATGACTGACACTGCCAAAGCTGTTCCCAACTTTGAAGAGATGTTTGCTAGTAGATTCACAGAAGATGACAAGGAATATCAGGAATACCTAAAACGCCCTCCTGAGTCCCCTCCAATTGTTGAGGAATGGAATAGCAGAGCTGGTGGGAACCAAAGAAACAGAGGCAACCGGTATGTAAAGAATAAATGTGGGCTGGGCGTGGTGGCTCATGCCTGTAATCCCAGCACTTTGGGAGGCCAAGGCGGGTGGATCATGAGGTCAAGCGATCAAGACCATCCTGGTCAACATGGTGAAACCCTGTCTCTACTAAAAATACAAAAAATTAGCTGTGCATGGTGGCACGTGCCTGTAATCCCAGCTACTCAGGAGGCTGAGGCAGGAGAATTGCCTGAACCCAGGAGGCGGATGTTGCGGTGAGCCGAGATTGCGCCATTGCACTCCAGCCTGCGTAACAAGAGGGAAACTCCGTCTCAAAAAAAAAAACAAAACAATAAATGCAAATGGTTGACCTGGCAGAGGATAGCTTCAATCTGCTAGACTTTAAGGCCAGTGATGGCAGGGACTAGTTTTTAGTATGGCATACCTAGTGCCTAATAGTGCCTGGTATATTGTTTCTGATAAATACTTGCTTTAATATTTTTTCAGCACCATATATTTTTTTCCATGCTGTTCAAGTATATGTGTTTTCTTGTTTTTAAATGTTCTTTTTATAGATTAATACTTTCTATGCAAATCTACTTTAAAAACCTAGAGCTTTCTAGAACTTGTTCAATTCCATAAAGAAAATATTGTTTCGATTTTACTTTAGGAAGAAGTTTACAAATGGAAGTTACTTTTATTTAATTCAAAATAGTCAAAGGAATAAATTACCATTCCGTTTTTGTACAATGGAATAGATTTCACTTTAATTCAGAACCATTCTATTGGTTATATAGTCTGCCTATTTCTCTGTAAAGCATATCTAGTATAGTACTAGAAGAATGATTTCAGTCTTAGGAAAGGTTTGATTTACTGGTGCTGTAACATTCTATTGTGAAGAATGTTTTTAGTCTTATTTATTGAGAAACTAGATGCACTGCTATGCGTTTATCATGTGTTTTTTTAACAAGGAAGTTTAAAGACTTTGTTTTGTTCTTGTAGATTGCAAGATAACAGACAGTTCAGAGGCAGGGACAGCAGATGGGGGTGGCCAAGTGACAATCGATCCAATCAGTGGCATGGACGATCCTGGGGTAACAATTACCCGCAACACAGACAAGAACCTTACTATCCCCACCAATATGGACATTATGGTTACAACCAGCGGCCTCCTTACGGTTACTACTGATAGAAATGTTGGCAGCTTTTAGTAAAGCATTTACTCTGTTACCATGACAAAAGTTTGGGTGTCTTCTGTTGGTCAAAGTTATACATCTGATTTTAGAGAACGGATTTTTTGGAAGTTGAGACTTAAAAAAAAAATAGATCTTACTTGCGGGATGCGATGGTTGCTGCTGATATTTGAAGTTGTGGATTATATTGCTTGACTTCTACCTCAGTCTTCCTTGTTTCATGACGTAATAGTGCTTTGAGTTTGGTATATTTTCTTATTTGACCTCTAGGAGACCTTTGTTTTACACAGAAATAAAAATTTTAAAATAGAAAATGCTTGCTTCTCCTTTGTAAGGTAAGAGAGTATCCATATACTTAGATGTGCTCGTTTCTAAAATTCTAGAAGTTAATACAAAATCAGCTCATGAATGCACAGCTATGCTTCTTGTGAAAGATTGTATATAACATCAGCAGTTGAAAGATAAAACTATTGCTTTTTTGTTATGTGACTGTGGTACTTTGTGATTCCTTACTCTATAGATAATGAGTCAGCTCCACATTTACTTGGGTCTCTTTAGAGGGAAATCAGTAATAAAGCTGTAAAATAGGGAAGGAATCATTGTCAGTTTGTGTCTTGATCTGATGATGGTTGGGATTAGGGTAACATCATTTTGTATACCAATAAGGCTTTTCGCTAACAACATAGCAGGTCAAAATTCACACATACAAAAATTTAATTCTGTGATGTTCAAACTTTCCTTTTTAATCCTGTAAATAATGCTGCATTTTGATTGTTCTTACTTTTTTGGTATTTAATGTGGGCTGATTTTACAATGTTATATTCACTTCCAGATGCATACCTCTGCTGCTTTCTCTTCTATAAATAGTGATGCTATAAACTTCGTTTCACAGAGATCATTCTATTTCAGATCGTTTTAATGGTTATTACAGCAATGGTTTCATTCAAATAAAATTTAAAAAAAATTTTAAGTGTCTTCACTCCCAAGTTCTGGCAGCCTATTTATTAATATGGTGAAATGAGATTTTTTGTTTTTTTATTATGCTGTTTTTCAAATCTGTTGAAAAGGGCTTATTTGGTTTAAGAGTAACATTAAGAGTACAAGTTTCAACATAGGTCAAAGGAATTAACAGGCACCTTCCTGACTTTATTAGAGTAACCAAAAAAAAAAAAACAAAAAACAAACAATATTTAAAAAGGCATCTTCTGGCCAGGTGCAGTGGCTCATGCCTATAATCCCAATACTTTCGGGGGCTTAGGTGGGTGGATCACTGTCACTTGAGGTCAGGAGTTTGAGACCAGCCTTATCCACATGGTGGGACCCCATCTCTACTAAAAATATAAAAATTATCTGGGTTTGGTGGCACATGCCTATAATCTCAGCTACTTGGGAGGCTAAGGCAGGAGAATTGCTTTAACTCCAGAGGTGGAAGTTGCAATAAGCCAAGATCATGCCACTGCACTCCAGCCTGGGTGACAGAGCGAGACTTCATCTCAAAAAAAAAGATAGCATCTTTGTAAACCTGTCTTTTACTGCCTTCTCTCTTAGCACTCCACTCTAGGCCCTCAAAGTTGACTTCTCCAGGTTCTTCATGCTCTGATTCTACCTCTCTTTTATTCTCCCTGGAAAGCTACCTCTCAGGTAACTGTTTTATTGGAAAGGACCTAATAAGTCATACATTCACACTAAGATGTAAATAAAATATTAACAGTAAGATAAGGGTTTTCCCTGTACCTCCCTTATTACAACAGAAGGCAGCAAGCCAGTGCTATAGGTTTTGGGCCTAGCATGGTGGCCCACACCTGTAATCCCAGCACTGGGAGGACAAGATGGGCAGATCAGGAGGTCAGGAGTTCGAGACCAGCCTGGCAAACATGGTAAAACCCTGTCTTGACTAAAGATACTTTTTAAATTAGCCGGGTGCGGTGGCATGTGCCTGTAATCCCAGCTATTTGGTAGGCTGGGGCAGGAGAACCCAGGAGGCAGAGGCTGCAGTGAGCCGAGACACGCCATTGCACTCGAGCCTGGGCGATAGGGTGAGACTCTGTCTCAAAAAAAAAAAAGGTTAATACTACAGATATTTAGCCGAATAGTAACGTCCTGACTACACCCCAGGATCTTCTCTGAAAGCATAAGTGTTACCAAAATATCTATCACCCAGTTGGGTATGCTAGCTCACGCCTGTTATCCCAGCACTCTGGGAGGCCAAGGTAGAAAGATCACTTGAGGCCAGGAGTTCAGGGCCAGCCTTGGCAATGTAGCAAGATCCTGTCTCTACAGAAAATTTAAAAATTAGCTGGGTGTGGTGGTCATGCCTGTAGTCCTAGCTACTCAGGAAGCTGAGACAGGAAGATCCCTCGAGTCCATGAGGACTTCAGGACTACAGTGAGCTAGGATCATGCCACTGTACTCCAGTTTGGGCAAAAGAATTTGAGATCCCGTCTCTTAAAAACAATGATTTAAACCAGGCACGGTGGCTTATACCTGTCTGTAATCCCAGCACTTTGGGAGGCCGAGGCAGGAGGATCACAAGGTCAGGAGATTGAGACCATCCTGGTTAATACAGTGAAACCCCATCTCTACTAAAAACACAAAAAATTAGCCAGGTGTGGTGGCACACACCTTTAGTCCCAGCTACTAGGGAGGCTAAAGCAGGAGAATCACTTGAACCTGGGAGGCGGAGGTGCAATGAGCTGAGATCACGCCACTGCACTCCTGCCTGGGCAACTGTCTCCAAAAAATGGTAATGATTTATAGGCTGAGCGTGGTGGCTCACGCTTGTAATCCCAGCACTTTGAGAGGCTGAGATGGGCAGATCACCTGGGGTCAGCAGTTCGAGACCAGCCTCGCCAACAGGGTGAAACCCAGTTTCTACTAAAAATACAAATATTAGCCAGGCATGGTGGCAGGCACCTGTAATCCCAGCTACTCGGGAGGCTGAGGCAAGAGAATCGCTTGAACCTGGGAGATAGAGGTTGCAGTGAGCTGAGACCATGCCATTGCACTCCAGCCTGGGCAACAAGATCAAAACTCCGTCTCAAAAAAACAAACAACAGGCCGGGCACGGTGGCTCACGCCTGTAATCCCAGCACTTTGGGAGGCCAAGGCAGGTGGATCACGAGGTCAAGAGATCGAGACCATCCTGGTCAACGTTGTGAAACCCCGTCTCTACTAAAAACACAAAAAAATTAGCTGGGCATGGTGCGCGTTCCTGTAATCCCAGCTACTTGGGAGGCTGAGGCAGAAGAATTGCCTGAACCCAGGAGGTGGAGGTGGCGGTGAGCCCAGATCACGCCACTGCGCTCCAGCCTGGGTAACAAGAGTGAAACTCCGTCTCAAAAAAACAACAACAACAACAAAAACAATTTATAACATCATATTACTTGAGAAAGCACGGGCACTGAGCAGTAGTTGGGACAGTATTTGACTATAGCTTCAGGGCAGGATTCTCTGCTGTGCCAGCTGTTGACACAAAGGGAGATGTGGGTCCAAGGCCAGCACTGAAGGGATGCTTCTCAAAAAGCTCAGAAGAGAGGTGGTTTCCAATAGTATTTAAACGTTTTAACTCCTAACACAGCTAGGCTGCCTGTGATCTGAGTATCAGCCCTGCTTGAAAAAATGGGAATAAACCTCGTTTCAACATGAGTTAATTCTGCATGCTACATGAATAATCTATGTGGTTATGGTTTTTTTTTTTCTTTTTTTTGGGACAGAGTTTTCGCTCGTTACCCAGGCTGGAGTGCAATGGTGCGATCTCAGCTCACCGCAACCTCCGCCTCCTGAGTTCAGGCAATTCTCCTGCCTCAGCCTCCTGAGTAGCTGGGATTACAGGCACGTGCCACTATGCCCAGCTAATTTTTTGTATTTTTAGTAGAGATGGGGTTTCACCATGTTGACCAGGATGATCTCGATCTCTTGACCTCGTGATCCACCTGCCTTGGCCTCCCAAAGTGCTGGGATTATAGGCTCACTGCGCCCGGCCCTGGTTTTTGTTTTTTAACAGCAGTTAGTATCAGACTGTACCCCTGCCCTCCATGTACTTAAAACCAGGAAGAAATAAAAGGCACAGTTTCTGCTTCATGAGGCAGAAAATAACATGAAAAGCTTAAAGATAATTTAAGAGTGAGAACAAAGAATTAAAAGGGTGTCAAATAGAATTAATTTCAAGTAGACAGTCCGTTATAATAACATATGGCATTAGGCATAAGGAGTCCTAGCTTCCAGTTCTGTGCTTAAAGCATATGTGACCTTGAGAAAATCATGTAAATGCTGAACTTATTGGCTCAGCTGTAAAAAGGAGGGCAATACCCAACCTGCCACCCTCAGATGTATTACAATAAATAACTAAAGGAAGAGCTTGAGAATATAGTTGTGACCATTAAACCCCTAGTGGCATAGAATAGGTGCTGCATAAACATTTGTTGAATCAACAGGAGGGAAGTATTTGGTAAATTGTAAAGCGTAGTGTTGATAGGAAGGATGTAAAGTAACAGAAGATAAGGTAGGGCAGGAGACGTTGAAAATTAAGGATTTCTGACCGTTTCCTTATGTGAATTCATATGTGAATTAGCAAAGGAAAGCAAGTTATATCATTCAGAAAATAAACACTTGAAATGTGGAAGACGGTTTGTATAAAAAAAGTTGAGCTAAAATTAGTAGTATTTGGCCAGGCCCAGTGGCTCACACCTGTAATCCCAGCACTTTGGGAGGCCAAGGCGGGTGGACAACCTCAGGTCAGGAGTTCGAGACCAGCCTGGCCAAAATGGCAAAACCCTATCTCTATGAAAAACAAAAATTAGCTGGGCATGGTGGTGTGCACCTGCAGTCCCAGCTACTAGGGAAGCTGAGGCTGGAGAATTGAACCCAGGAGGCAAAGGTTGCAGTGAGCCAGGATCGCACCACTGCATTCCAGCCTGAGCAACAGGGCAAGACTCCATCTCAGAAATAAATACACAAAATAAGTAGCATGTGCTGTTTGGAAATTGGTAGTGAGTTTAGAATGTCAAATGTTAATTATTGAACACACCAGATTAATGTCCTTTTGAGAATAGGATGCTGGGAAGTTTCAGAGTTTTTTGTGTTTTGTTTTTGAGTGCTAGGTAGACTTGGGGTTATACAGAATGTAATAAATTTGAGTCACTGCTTTGAGAATAGTTTTGGGGTTCTTGAAACTATACAGGAAAAAGACATCTGGGAAGATTTCTAGCACGGTTTTTGTTTCCAAAGCCATGTTCCTTATAATGCTCAACAGACAAATATATAATTTTCCTTGTATTTTATTCACCTAAAGGAAAATATAGGACTGGGCTGGGTACAGTGGCTCATGCCAGTAATCCCAGCACTTTAGGAGGCCAAGGTGGGCAGATCACAAGGTTAGGCGTTCGAGACCAGCCTCACCAACATGGTGAAACCCACCTCTACTAAAAATACAAAAAAATAGCTGGGCATGGTGGTGCACACCTGTAATCCCAGCTACTCAGGAGGTTGAGGCAGGAGAATGGCTTGAACCCAGGAGGTGGAGGTTGCAGTGAGCTGAGATCGTGCCACTGAACCCCAGCCTGGGTAAAAAACCAAGACTCCATCTCGAAAGAAAGAAAGAAAGAAAGAAAGGAAGAAAGGAAGGAAGGAAGGAAGGAAGGAAGGAAGGAAGGAAGGAAGGAAGGAAGGAAGGAAGGAAAGAAGGAAAGAGAAGGAAAGAAGGAAAGAAGGAAAGAAAGAAGGAAGGAAGGAAGGAAGGAAGGAACGAAGGAAAGAAGGAAAGAAGGAAAGAAAGAAGGAAGGAAGGAAGGAAGGAAGGAAGGAACGAAGGAAAGAAGGAAAGAAGGAAAGAAAGAAAGGAAAGAAAGAAAGAAAGAAAGAAAAATATAGGACTTTATGATAGAATTAAGAGTAATGAAATGTCAGTTTTGAGACTGTTATAATTGAAGGAAGTGGTCATTTGCCCTGAAGGTTACTGACAGCACTAATTTTGAACTCTCATAAAAGAACTACACTTGTTTCCTAAATATAATTTTTAATTTTTTAATTTTTCATTTTTTTGAGACAGAGTCTCACACTTGTTACCCAGGCTGGAGTGCAGTGGCACGATCTGGGCTCACTGCGATCTCCACCTCCTGGGTTCGAGCAGTTCTCCTGCCTCAGCCTCCCACGTAGCTGGGATTACAGCTGCCCACCACCACACCCAGCTAATTTTTGTTGTTTTAGTAGAGACGGGGTTTCATTATGTTGGCTAGGCTGGGCTCGAACTCCTGACTTTAAGTGATCCACCCGCCTCAGCCTCCCAAAGTGCTGGGATTACAGGTATGACCCATCGCACCTGGCCCTAAATATAATTTTTTAAAATTTATTTATTTTTAGACAAGTTCAAGCCAACCTAAATAAAAAATTTTTTACACCTTACAAATTTTCTTAGACTTCCTATTTGATTTGATTCAATCCAAACACAGATTTGGCTGTGTATGGAAATCTATGCCGTAGACTGTTGACTTTTTTTAATTAGCACCATCATCTATAGTGAAAGGAATTTTTTAAATTTAGGAAATATAAGAAATAAATACTCCCAGCTTAAGGTGGCTTCTATTACAATTGGACTTCAGTTAGCTGGGAATGTTAGCTGTGAAAGTGCTTACTTTGTAATGTCAGACAAATGAAATACATGTAAATTATTATCTGAAATGCCTATATGCATTTTTCTTTCAGTATCTTGCACTTTAACCAAAGACATATATTTAATATATATATATATATATGAGAATTCTGAAATATTAAATAAGGCTTTGGTTAATTCTGTATGAAAAAATTATATATAAGGCACTCAAAGCATCTTTGTTCTGTTTATTTATGAACATATAAAGATATGCTTTTAAAACTCTCAAATTTTAAAATTAAGACCAACAGGAGAAAATACTCTTGACACTGGTAGAACTTAATTGTTAATATTTAGATTAATCCTTTAGGATTCAGATGTATCCAGATGTGATATAATATCTAAACAAAGATTTCCACTGACATCTACTATATTAAATTATTATGGAATGAAAGAAACAACTAGATTAAAGTAGATTATACCACTGGAGCCCAGGCGGCCTTGAGAGTGGATATCTCCTCTTTTCTAGAAGTCTGGTTGACTACTGCTGTGACCAGTTTTTGAGGAAAATAAGGATGGGAGTAGAGATCCCTTGACCTGTGGACATTCTGGGTGAGAGTGGCCCTGGGCCAGGATGGTTGCATGGGTCCCAGTCAGTGGGGCTGCACTATGTCACGGTGTGCCCTGGGTGAGGAAGAAGTGACACTTCAGCTGCTGTGACACTGCTGAGGCCTCTGGGTGCCAGAGAAACATCTTGCTTCTGAGGAATTCAATGATCAGTGCTGTCAGATTAGAAAAGTGGAGATGAGCTGTGGATAATATCCTTCAGATTTGAAGGTTTACAGGATGGAATAGGAGGAGCAGGTTAATGAAGAAAAGTCTTTGGTCAGAACAGTTGGCCAGGCATGTGGCTCATGCCTGTAATCCCAGCACTTTGGAAGGTTAAGGTGGACAGATCACCTGAGGTCAGCAGTTCCAGACCAGCCTGGCCAGCATGGCAAAAACCCATCTCTACTAAAAATACAAAAATTTGCTGGGCGTGGTGGTATGTGACTGTAATCTCAGCTACTCAGGAGGCTGAGGCAGGAGAACTGCTTAAACCTGCGAGGTGGAAATTGCAGTGAGCCGAGATGGCACCACTACACTCAAGCCTGGGTGAAAGAGGGGGACTCCATCTAAAGAAATAAAAACAAACAGCTAATATGTGACTTGACTGCCCCACTGCAGGATTAAGAGAGAGCATAAAGTACGTAGCACTGAACTAGGCACATAATGGGTACCCAGTGAGGTTTGTACGTTAGGGTGAGGTATCTGCAGGCTGCTAGGGTGCACGATGGACAACTCGCAGACCTTTCAACAGTGTCTTTATGGGGTGATGGGCTGATTTGTCATTTTCATTCCTCTCCCTAAGGGGCACAGACAGCTCCATGTATGGGCTAATTCAGTTGATGTTTTCATTCCTTTCCCTCAGGGACACAGAGAGCCCTATGTATTAATTACCAGTTAGATTTTCTGTGGGTTTCAGTGACTCCTCCTGAGACAGCTTCAGGGGATGATGTGATGATGATCTCATGGTTTTTTTCCACTGCTAGTACCTTTAACTTCCTAGAGAATCTCCAGTCTCTTTGTCTGAATTAGGTAAATAAAACTGCTCTTAATGGCTAATGGCTAGAGCTTTGTTGTTTGTATGTGTATTTCTCTCATTTTAAAATTTCCTCAACTTGTGTGTTTACAAAACAATATATAAGTGAAACAATACAAAAATGAATAACTTTGGCTGGGCGAAGTGGCTCACTCCTGTAATCCCAGCAGTTTGGGAGGCTGAGGAGGACGAATCGCCTGAGCTCAGTTCAAGACCAGCCTGGCCAACTTGGAGAAGTCCCGTCTCTACTAAAAATACAAAAATAAAATAACCGGCATGGTGGCTTAGGCCTGTGATCCCAGATACTTGGGAGGCTGAGGCAGAAGAATCACTTAAACCTCGGAGGCAGAGGTTGCAGTGGGCCGAGATCACCCCACCACACTCCAGTATGAGCAACAAGAGTGAAACTTTGTCTCAAAAAATAATAATTTTTAAGTGACTTCTGTAGCTGTCATTTTCCTTTCTTTGTTCACTCTTCTCTATGTTGCCTTCTAAATTCCATACCGTTTTCAGCCTCCTCTCTGTTGGACTGTTTCCAACATGGCCTTTATTTCTATTATGCTTTTGTTTTTCCTTTTTATTTATTTGAAATAGGGTCTTGCCCTGTCACCCAAGCTGGAGTGCAGTGGCGTGATTGTGGCTCACTGCAACCTTGAATTCCTGAGCTCAAGTGATCCTCCTGTCTCAGCCTCCCAAGAAGCTGGGACTACAGGCACATGCCACTATGACTGGCTAATTTTATTTTTATAGAAATGGGGTCTATGTTGTCCAGGCTGGTCTTGAACTCCTGGCCTCAAACTATCATCCTGCCTCAGCTTCCCAAACTGCTGGGATTACAGGCATGAGCCAACATGGCCAGCCTTATCTTTTATTTTTAAATTCTGTTAGCCACATTTCAAGTGCTCAATAGCCACATGTGGCAGGAGCAGCTATCATGTGGACATGTATGGCTGTAAAAGAGGACTAAAGGCTAGCATTTTTGTTCACCTGACTCACTCCCTTACTGTTCACAGTGGCCTAATCCCCCTAGGTATCTCTGTTGAAAGTTTGAACATCACTATAGTAAAAACACAGATGAGTTTCCTGTAGAAATGATCAGGGAGTATGTAACCTGTGGCTGCAAAATTTGGGGATTCTTCCCTGACAAATTCTGTCTGGGGGACTGATTGGCAGACAGGATAAAATGCAAAAACCCTTAATAACTGAATTCTAAGGATTGTCTGAGGAATGTCTATGTGGGTAGAAATAGGTGCTCTTCCTGCAACCTAGAAAAAATAATTTCCTGTATCATGAATGATCATTATCTCCAGTGTTGTCCCAGAAGAGGATTTGTGGCTGGCTGCTACCATAGTGAGGAGGGAGACCCAGGCATTTGGGATTCCCTCCCCCTCTGTCATCCATTGTGCATCTCAATAAAGGAGAGAGCAAGCCAGCTGGCGCCTCCTGAATCTCCTTCCTGAAAACAACAGGCTAGGCCTCGGGGAAACTCTCCAGAAGGCACTATTTTTACTTAAAACAAGATCAACCCAGAAACCTTTTCACATGTGAGTCCTAAAACTGTAAACCGGAACCCTTTCATATGTAATTCCTAGAACTGTAAACTAAAACCTTTTCACATGAGTCCTAAAACTGTAAACCAGAACCCTTTCGTATGTGATTCCTAAAACTGTAAACCAAAACCTTTTCACATGTGAGTCCTAAAACTATGAATCTAAGATTCTTCCACATGTAACATCTAAAGTACAAGCCTAAATAAGGGCTGAACCTCCATCTGTTAGACGAGCTTGGCTGTTAGGCACCTATGCCACCTTGCTCCCAGCTGAAATAAATTCCTTCCTCCTGTATTCGGTGTCCGAGAGATCCTTTCCCTTGACCGCTCCTGCTACAATAGGTCCATCCCTACAGCAGAAATGGGAGCTCTAGATGGTCATAGCTCCCTTACCCTGGCCCCTAATTTCCTTGGCTCTGATTCCAAGCTCTCCAAGTAGGCTTGAATGATTCTCTTAAAGAGGTTTCCCAAAGGGACAGAATGTGCTGACTACAGATCCCACTATGCAGTCTATTTGGCAGGTCTGTTCTTCACTCAAGTTAGTAAGCTGGCATCTTGATTAGAAATTAGCTCCTTGCCAATTGCCCACCCAGGTCCATTTTCAAAAACACTGGCTTCGTGGATTTCTGAAAGCTGCAGAGTTAAGGGAAGAACTCAGGACCATGCTGCCTCCACCACGGCTATGAGCTGAGAGGCTCACGTACCCAGTGGCTCCAAGTTAACAACACTCAGGTCTGAGCTGAATTTAAGGTACAGGGGGACTAAGCCTAAGGAATGGCTCTGAAGCCTGGCTCAGTGGCTCATGCCTGTCATCTCAGCACTTTGGGAGGCCAAGGCGGGCGGATCACAAGGTCAGGAGTTCAAGACCAGCCTGGCTAAATGGTGAAACCCCATCTGTACTAAAAATACAAAAAATTAGCCAGGCATGGTGGCACACACCTGTAATCCCGGCTACTCAGGAAGCTGAGACAGGAGAATCGCTTGAATCCAGGAGGCAGAGGTTGCAGTGAGCCGAGATTACACCATTGCACTCCAGCCTGGGCGAGAGAGCAAGACTCCCTCTCCAGAAAAAAAATGGCTCTGAGAAGACAAGAAGGATCACAGCGTGTGAGCATGGTAGTCAGGCACTGCAGAAAAAATTTCCTAATAGCACTGTTCACTTCAAAAAGAACCAAGTTTCAGTCTGTGTAGTTTTCTCCTGTTGTGTTTTGGTGCCATCTCTTGGATGTAAACTGAAATTCTAAGTTTTTAATCACTAGTTACATGCATTAAAACAATTTGAATTTGGGGACACATGGGTTCTAAAATTTATATTCTGCATTATAGCTAAGGAACTATGTAACCAAATCCCTGGAATCTAAGAGGGAGATGCTGACAACCCATAGCCCAGAGAGCTGCCTCTTAAAAGTTTGTGCATTTAGGTGTTTGGAACTTTATTTTTTGAGACAGACTCTCACTCCGTCGCCCAGGCTGAAGTGCAGTGGCACAATCTCAGCTCACTGCAACCTCTACTTCAAGCAATTCTTGGGTCTCAGCCTCCTGAGTAGCTGGGACTACAGGCATGCACCACCACACCCAGCTAATTTTTGTATTTTTAGTAGAAACAGGGTTTCGCCATGTTGGTCAGGCTGGTCTTGAACCCCTGACTTCAAGTGATCTAGCTGCCTCAGCCTCCCAAAGTGCTGGATTACAGGCATGAGCCCCTGCTCCTGGCCTAGGTGTTTGGAACTTTAAACACTGCAAAGGTGCCACCTCCATCCTCTGGTTCTTGCTGTCCATCCCCTAACAAAGAGTAAAGTGTGGAATGGCTCACAGAAATCAGGAGTCCAAAATCTGCGCTCCTGCCTCCAGGGCATAATAACCAGGCTGTTCTTTCCCAGGTTCTGTCAAAGTATGGTGTAGGCAAAGCACCTAGCAGTGTCTGTCAAGTAAGCACCCAAGTTAATAAATGATGAATCGATCATGTTTGCACAAGTAATCATCATTTATTAAGGTGGGGGTAAGCCAGGCACTGTGGCTCATGCCTATAATCCCAGCACTTTAAGAGGCTGAGGCGGGAGGATTATGAGGTCAAGAAATCAAGACTATCCTGGCCAACATGGTGAAACCCTGTCTCTACTAAAAATATAAAAAATTAGCTGGGCATTTTGGTGTGCGCCTGAAGTCCCAGCTACTCAGGAGGCTGAGGCAGCAGAATCGCTTAAACCTGGGAAGCAGAGGTTGCAGTGAGCCGAGATGGAACAACAGCCTGGGCGACAGAGTAAGACTCTGCCTCCCCTGAAAAAAACTACTGAATCTAAGTTACCAATGAGGAAGAAGAAAATTCAGTAACATCTCAAAAATTATAATTCATATTAGAAGTCTGATTTTTCTTTACTTTTTCACAAAATGGCAAATGTAGTCTTCAAAAGATGTAAAAAAAAAAATCTGCTTTTAAACAAGCATTTTTAAATCTAAGGAAAGACTACAAAGCAGCATAACAGGTTTTCTGTCACTTGTAAACTGGATTAGAAGGCAATCCCCAGAATTCCAGAACCATTGTGGAGATATGATGATTTTAATTTACAATCTGGAAAAACTTAATTCAAAAAGGAGTCAAAAGATCTGAGTTCTAGTTCCAACTTGCATGGTACAATCTTGAGTAAGTCTCTCAACTTTTGGGTATCAGAAGCTCCGCCCACAGAATGAAAGATGTTAAATCAGGTCATCTCGAATATTCTTTCCAGCTCTGCTATTTTATAATGACATGAAATCAGAGTAACATGTTCCAGGCTGTTTGGGGTTAGGGATTTTAGAACCTGTATTCAATGTATAGCACTTTTAAAATTTCTACTTTTTGAAGTCTTATTTCAATATATATATATTCTTCTCTGCATGTTCTTCTGTAGTATAGTATAGCATAGTTCTTCATATAGTATATGTTTCTATTTAACAGCCTTTTCATAATTAGCAATAAAAAAGTTTCTCAAGGATGTCTTTTTCATTTCTTTTTTTTTTGAGAGGGAGTTCACTCTTGTTGCCCAGGATGGAGTGCAATGGCGCGATCTCAGCTCACTAAAATTTCCGCCTCCTGGGTTCAAGCGATTCTCCTGCCTCAGTCTCCCAAGTAGCTAGGATTACAGGCATGCACCATCACACACAGCTAATTTTGTATTTTTAGTAGAGACAGGGTTTCACCATGTTGGTCAGGCTGATCTTAAACTCCTGACCTCCGGTGATCTGGCCGCTCGTGGGATTGCAGGCATGAGCCACCACACCTGGCCTCATTTCTTGCTCTTAGGTTTTTTTGGCTTCCTTTTTTAATTTCTCCAAGATCTCTTCTGGAGTTGTAGAGGCCAAAAGCTTCACCACCTTTTCACGAGATTTACAACCCTGGACCAAAAGAGAAAAAATATGCTTTACTGTTTAGCACAATCTAATGCCATTAGGAGACAGCAAACCTCAGTTGTACGATGGGCTTTCCTGATAGCTTTGGTACCACTTTCTCTTGGTTACTTTTGGTCTAACCAAAGACTATCACTTTTTTTTTTTTGAGACGGAGTTTTGCTCTTGTTACTCAGACGGGAGTGCAATGGCACGATCTCGGCTCACCGCAACCTCCACCTCCTGGGTTCAGGCAATTCTCCTGCCTCAGCCTCCTGAGTAGCTGGGATTACAGGCACACACCACCATGCCCAGCTAATTTTCGTATTTTTAGTAGAGACGGGGTTTCACCTTGTTGACCAGGATGGTCTCGATCTCTTGACCTTGTGATCCACCTGCCTCGGCCTCCCAAAGTGCTAGGATTACAGGCGTGAGCCACCAAAGACTATCTCTTAAGATTCTACCTTACTAGCATTGTTACTAAACATTTGTTAGTACTAACAACTCTCCAGGATTTTTACCTTCATACATCAATTTCTATAATAAAAGCTGGACATTAAAATCTCAAAGATGAATATGGAATTTTTTTTTTTTTTTTTTTTTTGAGATGGAGTCTCATGATCTTGGCTCACTGCAACCTCTGCCTCCTGGGTTCAAGTGATTTTCCTGCCTCAGCCTCCTGAGTAGCTGGGACTACAGGCTTACGCCACCATGCCTGGCTAATTTTTTGTATTTTTAGTAGAGATGGAGTTTCACCATGTTAGCCAGAATGGTCTCATCTCTTGACCTCATGATCCACCAGCCTTGGCCTACCAAAGTGCTGGGATTACAGGTGTAAGCCACCACGCCTGGCTGGAATCTTTATAATATTCTAGTCTTAAGCAATTCTTTAAGTTAAAAATGAAAATCATCCTGGCTGGGCACAGTGGCTCATGCCTGTAATCCCAACACTTTGGGAGGCCAAGGCAGGCAGATCACCTGAGGTTGGGAGTTTGAGACTAGCCTGACCAACATGGAGAAACTCCATCTCTACTGAAAATACAAATTAGCTGGCTGTGGTGGTCCATGCCTGTAATCCCAGCTACTTGGGAGGCTGAGGCAGGAGAATCACTTGAACCCGGGAGGCGGAGGATGTAGTGAGCTGAGATCATGCCACTGCACTCCAGCCTGGGCAACAAGAGTGAAACTTCGTCTCAAAAAAAAAAAAAGATATAATCTTTAAAATACCAAAATAAATATTGCAATTTTATATAAACTTTGTAGTAAAACAATTATAAATATAAACAAATTGCTGTTCTCTATGCTGTTAAACATTTCTGAAAATTCCAAACAAAAAGTAGCACATATCTAAGTGCCACGATTTCACAATCACTTTAAACAACTTTAAAAAAGGATTTGCTTTCAAACACATCTTTTAAAGAAGATAAAATTTGAGAGGGGATTTATTTAGATGGGTAGAATTTGCACAGGCAAAAGAGTGGTGAACACCTTTCAGGCAAATGTCAGAGCAGGAGCACCAGCCAAAAATCAGAAATGACTTGCCACAGGTGGGGCATTCAAATGGATTTTTAGGTGCAGTCAGTTAATCAATGACTTTGAATGCCAGCTGGAACCCAGATAGGAGCAATATAATATAGCACTGGAAAAGAAGTAGAGCTTTAAGAAATATAAACATGGCTGGGCCCTATTCCTGAAGATCCTATTTCAAGAAGCCTAGAGTGAGACTCAGGGATCTGTATTTAGAAATCATTCCCAGGTGATTTTGATATCCACTCCTAGTGCAAAACCATATTAATGACATCATACAAGCCTTCTGTCTTCCCAGTGAGCTGCTTCTAGTGAGCAAGGGCAAAGTAGGGGACCAGCAATACTTGACAGAGTCACTCATGGAGATGACTAACAATAGGAAATGCTTTAGATTGTTTAGTGTGATGGCTTGAAGGATGAGAGAGGTTAAGTAAGATTAATCTGATAGCAGGTTCAGGAATGAATTCAGAAAGAAGAAAATGCTGGCAGCACTGGCAGTGAAGACGTGTTAAGCATACAGTGTGGACAGTCTCAGGAAGAATTAAGGCAGCAGGCATGAAGGAGACTAAATAGGAAGAATTCACAGATTTCTGTGATTAAATAAAGTTAAAAGTTATAAACAACTGGTTTCCCAATTATTTGAAAAAGACAAAAAAACCCTCAGTATTTTATGAATCATTACTGATGTGTAATAATTAAAGATGGCTGGCCACGGTACCTGTAATCCCAGCACTTTGGGAGGTTGAGGTGGGTAGATCAGTTGAGGTCAAGAGTTTGAGACCAGCCCAGCCAACATGCTGAAACCCCGTCTCTACTAAAAATACAAAAATTAGCTGGATGTGGTGGTGGGCACCTGTAATCCCAGCTACTTAGGAGGCTGAGGCAGGAGAATCGCTTGAACCCGGGAGGCGGAGGTTGCAGTGACTCGAGATCATGACAATGCATTCCAGACTAGTCAACAGAGCGAGACTCTGTCTCAAAAAATAAAACAAGGCCAGGTGCAGTGGCTCACGCCTATAATCCCAGCACTTTGGGAGGCCAAAGTAGGTGGATCACCTGAGGTCAGGCCAGTCTGACAAACATGTTGAAACCCTGCCTCTATTAAAAATATAAAAATTGGCCAGGCACTGTGGCTCACGCCTATAATCCCAGCACTTTGGGAGGCCGAGGCGGGTGGATCACGAGGTCAAGAGATCAAGACTATGCTGGTCAACAAGGTGAAACCCCGTCTCTACTAAAAATACAAAAATTAGCTGGGCATGGTGGCGCGCGCCTGTAGTCCCAGCTACTCGGAAGGCTGAGGCAGGAGAACTGCTTGAACCCAGGAGGCGGAGGTTGTGGTGAGCCGAGATCGTGCCATTGCACTCCAGTCTGGGTAACAACAGCGAGACTCCGTCTCAAAAAAAAAAAAAAAAAAAATATATATATATAGAAATTTATATATATAAATATAAATTAGCTAGGCCTGGTGGTGGGTGCCTGTAATCCCAGCTATTTGGGAGGCTAAAGCAGGAGAATCACTTGAACCTGGCAGGCAGAAGTAGCAGTGAGCCGAGATTGCACTACTGCACTCCAGCGAGACTCTGTCTCAAAAAAAAGAAAGAAAATAAAACAATCAAAGATTTTTAAAAAGTCAGGAGTCCTGTGCTTAAAAAGTCATAAGCCTGGCCTCCTGCCTTGCCCAAAGCTGAGAGACCACCAGGCACAGTGGCTTATGCCTGTACTCTCAGCACTTTGGGGGGCTGAGGCAGGTGGATCACTTGAAGTCAAGAGTTTGATTCCAGCTTGGCTAACATGGTAAAACCTCGTTTCTACTAAAAATACAAAAATTAGCCAGGTGTGGTGGCGTGAGCCTATAATCCCAGCTATTCAGGAAGCTTGAACCTGGGAGGTGGAGGTTGTAGTGAGCTGAGATTGTGCCACTGCACTCCAGCCTGGCTGACAGAGCAAGACTTTGTCGAGAGAGAGAGAGAGAGAGAGAGAGAGAGAGAGAGAGAGAGAGAGAGAGAGAGAGAGAGAGAGAGAGAGAGAGAGAGAGAGACCTACCTTATCCAAAACCACATCACTCTTCCTGAGTTCTAGGACCTTGGAAAGATACCGACAGAGCTCAGCGTTAGCCTCTCCCTCTGATGGAGGTGCTGCAATAGCTACATTGATGGCTTCTGCTGTCAAATCTGGAATGAAAACAGGGTGTGGACTTATCCTTAAGAAGTTATTTTTCTTCATGAAGTGAGGACATTTTGGAAAAGAGTTTGCATTTGCCTGACACATAGATTTTCAATACCTGTTGAATAAAGAAATGAATGATTAAACTAATCACATTTAAGGGAACACGAACATGATAAAAATGGCCCCACCATTACAGGAAATAAATCCAAAGAAGAAAACCGATATTTACCCAATCTTGCTGACCAAGATGGGCTTACAGAGCCCTGGGGAGTATCCTGCAACTGGAAATTGCCCTTGATATATTAAGAGCCCCAGGCAGGGAGTCAGAGATGGCCTTCAGCCTCATCAATGTCACTAAGGAAGTGCAGGGACAGGCTAGCTTATTAGATTGTACAGGGTTGTGCAGAGTTCCCTCATCAGGAAAATGAGAGCCCTAGACTAAGTTCACCTCTTATGTGACATGTATCTTGAATGTTCTAAAAATTTAATGTTTACTTAACAAATATTTACATAGTACTTACTATACACTAATTTTAAGCACACACAAATGTGTTAAAGGCTTTACAAATATTAACTTCTTTAATCCTTATAGAGACTTTATGAAGATATTAGTACCATTATTATCTCCATTTTACAAATGAGCCATGGCACCCAGACTCCCATTTTAGAGCTAATGAAACATAACATTCCAACAGTAGACAGTGTTCACACCCACTACTTAGAAAATGCTGGCCAAGGAGAATATGGCCAAGTTAACTTGGTCATCAGCATAAACCAGGCCTAGCATACCAATTTTGTGGTCTTCCTTTCAAAATCTAAACATAATTTGGAATACAGAGCTTTAGAGGTGAAAAAGACCTTCACAATAATTCAGGGCAATGGCTTTCGAACCTTCTTCTCCTTTAGAATCCCTTTCCCCCAATTGTCTCTAGAATCCCAATATTTAAAACAAATGTAAACGCAGCTAGTCAGAATTCTGTGTACCTGGCCTCCCCTTTGCCCAAAGCTGATTCCCGAGGCACCTCCAGCACTCCAGAGAATAGCTTGAAAGCCTCTTAGTCCAGCAATCTCATCTGACAGGTGAAAAAACTGGGCCCATGAATGTTTTATACTGTTTTATTTAAAACAAGTTCACAAAGGAACTGATCACTGGTCTCAGATCTCAAGTTTCCTCCCTCTCCTTAGGCCATTGATCATTAAACTACACTAAAATGTCTCTTCTTTCTCTGGCCAATGTCTCCAGTTTTGAAAAAAGACAAACTAATAATCTAGGCTACATACAGGTTTCCATATCTGTCCTTTCTAAAATACCATATTTTAAAAAAGAAAATTAAGGCTGGGCGCGGTGGCTCAAGCCTGTAATCCCAGCACTTTGGGAGGCCAAGGCGGGTGGATCACGAGGTCGAGAGATCGAGACCAACCTGGTCAACATGGTGAAACCCTGTCTCTACGAAAAATACAAAAAATTAGCTGGGCATGGTGGCGCGTGCCTGTAATCCCAGCTACTCAGGAGGCTGAGGCAGGAGAATTGCCTGAACCCAGGAGGTGGAGGTTGCGGTGAGCCGAGATCGCACCATTGCACTCCAGCCTGGGTAACAAGAGCAAAACTCCGTCTCAAAAAAAAAAATAAATAGATAAATAAAAATAAAAAAAAAAATTATACAATGGTTTTGAGTAACTTGGCATGATTTAAAGATATATTCACTTTCAGGCACCTTTACATTAGAATCTAGAATTTTAAAATGGAGACGCCTCTAACTGCAGATGTGACAAATCAATGGTCACAGGATAAGCTTTCAGTTAGCCAATGCGAAGGGAGGCTGGAAAAGACAGACACCTGATTCACACTTACATCCCACCCCAGTGTCCAGGCATACCTGTTACAGCATTTTGTTTGGAGCCAGGTTTGGCATGGATGGCTATGGTGACACAACCTTTAGGATCAACTGCCACAGGCCCTGAGGGAGGAAGAGATCTCTCTGGCTCTTTGCTCTGGCTTTTACCCTAAAATGATAACCACACAACTTCACAGGTTACAAAATATTTTTCCACACATTTAATTTGATCCTTCCACTGCCCCCTTTCACCCTTGACAGACAAACTAGGCTAATCCGTGGTGTCCAGGGACTTCTGGCCACCTAGGACGCTTTTCCCACGAACTTCATTAATCAATTCTCCCATGAAGCATTCCCATCAACCCAAGTGTTTTTTCCTTCCTTGCAAGAAAACCTAACTCTGGCTTCTAAACCTTAATGCTTGTTCCTCCCTAGGGGACAACTCCTCCGGGGCAGGGACCATTTATTATTCATCATTGTATCTCATGCAGTCGGAGCTAATAAATGTTGGTGAAAGTGTATATGTGTGCGTGTTCGGGAAAAGGGAGAAAAAAAACCAGTAGGGCTTCATATTTAAAGGCCTGTTATGGGACAGGGGCTGTGCTAGGAACTTTCATTCAACAAATATGTAAAGATATAAGGATACAAGGTCCTTGCTCTCAAGGAGCTCGGACTGCTGCGAGGGAGAAAGAACATACAAAATCATAGTAACACTGTGCTAAGTGCACCCATGAGATACACACGGGGCATTACCGCACGGGCACTGGAGGATCCTGCCAGCAGCGGCAGAAGGCAGTGCTTGAGCTGAGTCTGAGAAACGGACTGCGGTTGGCCAGGCAAAGACGGTGGAAATGGGAATGGGAGTGGTGTATTCTTGACAGAAGGGCTCCGATCAGCCAAGGTAAGAAAGGAGAACGCAGAACAGAGCCTCCCGGGGAAGCGCAGGCGTCACGCCGCTGTTGGAACGTGAATTGCCGGCCTGGGAGTGCGAGTGCAGGGAGGCCAGAGAGGTCAGCACACGCAGCCCAGGGAGAGCTCGGCTGCCGCCGGACCCAGCACTCAGACGTCACCGGGTGGACGGCGGCGCAGCCTACTGAGGCGGGGCGACTGCAGCAAGAGCCGCAGCTCTGGGGGTAGCGGCAGCTGTCCTGGGCACCGGAACTGAGAGAGGGCAAAGTGCCGGCGGCGCCTCACCCACCCCCGGGCCCCGCTTCTCCCGCGCTCCTAAACAAGGAGCCCTGCGGCCCACCCCTCTGCTGCCACTGGCCTTGGTCGTCGCACCAGCCTTCTTAGGCATCTCGGCGGCAAGAGGACGCCGAGCGGAACCCCAAGTACTGGGTTCTGCCCCGACCTGCCCCAGCGCTCTGTAGAGCCGCAGCATCCCTGACTGGGGAGGCGCCGGAAGAGCCCTCTGCACTTGCGCAGGTAGCGGGCAGGAGCGGCCCCAGCGCGCCGCGCATCCGCTTTGGTCCGAGGGCGACACCTTACGGCCGGCGGGAGCGAGTCTCCTGCCCTCAGAACATGCGCAAGCCTCTTTTGTTCTGGAAAGGGCCCCAGCAGGTGGAGCTGGGGAGCTGGGGCCTCACCGCGTCATGGCCCACCCTCCTCAGCTGATGGGAAGGTGTGTCACTTCTGATCTTCTCTTTCCTAAAAGGGGAAAGAAAGGTATGGTCACTTCTCAGAATTGGAGAGCGCGGTAAGGAGTGCACAGGACCAGGTGTCTTCTCGCTCCTGCAGCCAAGCATTAGGTGCAAAGCCTCACGCTGCTGCCTGTGGCCAGCAAGTCTATATAGAGCCTCGTGCCCTTGTGAATCTTCCACGTATCGATGGCGCACTTACCTTGTGCCAGGCGCAGCGGATCCCACAATGTAAAGGAGGAAATGCACTGCGATATGTGATATGGCGAGGCATGAAACAAATCAGCAGAAGCAAGATCATGGAGTCACTGAAGGCTTTGAAGCAAGGGATTGGGAGTCCAATTTGCTGTGTTTTAGAAAGACACCAGCTGCACTGTGGCTGACAGAGGAAAAGGCAGAGATAGGGAGATCCGCCCCCTAAATGGGAGACGGTGGCCTGAACTAAAGTAGCAGAGAGGATGGAGCGCTGATCATTTCAAGGATCTTCAGAAACTGGAATGATCAGAACTTGGGAATGACTGGATGTGCGAATAAGAGCGAAGAGTCAAGGAAATGCCCAGGTTTGGGGCCCAAGGAACAGTTTGGGTGTCCGAGGTAAGGAGTTCAGCTTTGGACATAATGAGTTTGAGATGACCACTGAACATCCAAGTACAAATATTAAAGGGGTAACTGCATATATGTAACCGAAGTTTGCAAAATCAAGGCTGGCAATAGAGATTCTGGAATCTTCTGAAAAATAGATGGCAATTGAAGCTATGGAAATGGATGAGAGAAAGGCTGAGAAAGTGTGTGCAGAGCACGAGGGCCAGGATAGAACAGCAAGAGCAGGCAGAGAAATCAACAAAGGTCGTTGTCCAGGTAGCAGTACGGTGTAATGGCAGCTAAGGAAGGGTGCTTCGAGAGGGAATATCAACAGTGATGAATGCTCCATAGAGAACGTGTCACATGTAATGACTGAAAGTGACCGCAAGACTTAGAAATCAGGGCTGGAGCAGTTTCAGTGGAGAGAAGGAACTGGAGATAAGTGTAGAGAATAATCCCGTGACTTCACTGTCACGGAGCAATTGATATCTGGAGGGGCACATGACATTCAGAGACTTTTATTTTTACCATATTTGAAGGTTGGTAGGAAAGAGCCAGGAGAGGAGAGGATACAGCAGAGGGTCGGTTCCTGAAGTGGTGAGATGTGAGCTCAAGTAGAGACTGACTGCACTACAGGAGACCGTAGACACTCCTCCCTTCCTAAGGGAAAGCTTAAGTGGACATGTAGGTGCGTTTATAGGTTTGCTGATGGGAGCTGGAATTTCTTTCATTAACTAAGTTTGGAGGAGGTGTTGAAGGTGTGAGCACAGTGGAACAGCTTTACAGTGGGACTCTGGAGAATGGCAAAGGGCTGACTCTTGCAACTCACTCTACAGTACTGACAGTTAAAGGAGACCATGAAATCATCATGATCCCAATCTATAGTTACATTATTTATTTATTTTTGAGACAGAGTTAGGGGGATGGGAAGAACCTGTCACCCAGGCTAGAGTGCAGTAGTGGGATCTCTGCTCACTGCAACCTCCACCTCCCAGGTTCAAGCAATTCTCCCTGTCTCAGCCTCCAGAGTAGCTGGGATTACAATTATTTTTTGTATTTTTAGTAGAGACGGGGTTTCACCATGTTGCCCAGGCTAGTCTCAAACTCCTGAGCTCTGGCAATCTGCTCACTTCCCCAAAGTGTTAGGATCACAGGCATGAGCCAGCGCCCGGCCTATAGTTTCATTCTTTTAAATGCCTGGATTCCCAGCTAGAAGTTTAAATTTCTTTTTTCTTTTTTGGCCCCAGTGCTACTACCAAAGCAGTCAGAACTGGATTCATTCAGGTATTACAATGGGTTGAAGGTCATTGGTGAAATGGTTAAAGTGATTAAAGACCAAAGATGAAGAGGGGTTGAGGGAGATCAAAGATAGAGCCTAACTGGGTAAAGAAGGAAGAAAAGAACAGAGGTCAAGAGTAACTGGAATGTGAGTGAGAGCTTGAAGAAACACCAAAGGTTGTGGCCAGAGTGGGATGTCTGAATTTACTATTTCAGATGTACAGCAATTCCACACCATGACAGGCTACACAGTGTGGCCATGAGAAGGAATAGCGAAGGTTGCTGGAGGTAAAGAAGAAACTGGAAAGCTACGTGTAGCTGGGCTGTCCACATGGCCAGTGAGGCCACACAGTATAAAGCCTTGAGCAGAAGCAAGTGAGCCAGGCGTTAAGCCAAAAGCATATTTCCCTTCTTTGAAATCAGTGAAGAATTAAGGCACAAAAGCTGAACCAGCATTATATAGCAGTCATCTGTAGAATCTGCTTTGGGTGAAGTCACATCAGCCTCAGAGGTTTGGCAGTTGTCAGGGAAATAAAGGGGACATTTGTAAAGGTGTTATGATGGCATCTGGCGGGTGGCTAGATGAATGAGAGTGGAGAGGTGACCTGCAGTGAACCATGCGGCCTTTCCCACACGTGACTCGGGAGTAGGGGGTATGAGGAGTTCATTGCGCCAATGGGGAAGAGAAGTGCCATCTGCCCCATGTGCCACCAAACTGTGCACCTGACTTGTTTCTCCTGCCCACATCCCTGTCTCTGGAAGAAAGACAGAGGCAGAGTGCGAAAACATACTGCCTAACAGTGAGGGAAAACACAGAGGCTAAGATTCAAATGGCAGGAAACCCCTTGTAAATGTTTGTGGTGGTTCGCATATTATTTTCTTTGAGACAGGCTCTCACTACGTTGCTCAGGCTGGTCTCAAGCTCTTGGATTCAAGCAATGCTCCTGCCTCAGCTTCCTCAGCAGCTGTATAACTACAGGCTTTATTTTATCTTCAGTTTTAAATAGAGTTCCATTTAAAAGCTTGCAATGGAGAAACAGGAAAAGGGATTTTTCAAAGCATACAAACTAGGTGCATGTGAATAAATACATGGTGTAGCTCGGGCTGGTTGTTGGGGCTGTGACTGTGATGGTACCACCCTTCTTGTGAAGGATGTTTTTTCTAATTCGGGGACATTTCCAGGTCTTGAATCAGGATGACTACAAGGAAGTAGAAAATGGTTTGAAGAAGTACTAAAAAGTGGGACAAGGTTTTTTTTTTTTTTTTTTTTTGAGACGGAGTTTTGCTCGTTACCCAGGCTGGAGTGCAATGGCGCGATCTCGGCTCACCGCAACTTCCGCCTCCTGGGTTCAGGCAATTCTCCTACCTCAGCCTCCTGAGTAGCTGGGATCACAGGCACGCGCCACCATGCCCAGCTAATTTTTTGTATTTTTAGTAGAGACGGGGTTTCACCATATTGACCAGGATGGTCTCGATCTCTTGACCTCGTGATCCACCGCCTTGGCCTCCCAAAGTGCTGGGATTACAGGCTTGAGCCACAGTGCCCGGCCCGGGACAATGTTTTAAACACATTACACGTAACATACCGCATTGAAGACCTTGCTTTTTCTAATGTCTTACAAGCTTATCTATTCCCAAGTTAAAAAATTTAAAAACACTCTGATAATGCAAGTAATCTCAATTTGTTGGGCAGATACTGGAATATCACACTTTCTTAAAATATAAAGTATATTCTACAGTAAATACGGATTAGTCAAGCATATTTTTGGGTCTTACTGCAGAGTTTGAGAATGGTGACATAAATACTATTTTTGGACCCAGCAAAATATTTTCTCAACTCTGTAGTGTGCGAGATGTAAATGGGTTTAAATTCCACCTCCCACCACTTACTGAACTTTTTTTTCCCCTCCCTAAGACAGGGTCTTGCTTTATTGCCCAGGCTGGAGTGCAGTGGTGCTATCATAACTCACTGTAATCTTGGACCCCTGGGCTCAAGCAATCCTCCCCTCAACCTCCCAAGCAGCTATGACTTAGGCACGTGCCACCACAACGTAGCTAATTTTGTTTTTCAGAGACAGGGTCTCACTATGTTGCCCAGGCCGGTCTTGAACTCCTGGCCTTAAGTGATCCTTCTGTCTCCGCCTCTCAAAGTGCTGGTACAGGTGTGAGCCACCGCGCCCAGCCTAGCTAACTTTTTCTTTGCCTGTGAAATGGGTATTGTAACAGTACTTACCTCCTATCAATGCTGTGAGAAACTAGTAAGAATGTCATAAGGTAGCCTGGGTGCGGAGGCTCCCACCTGTAATCCCAACACTTTGGGAGGCCAAGGTGGGCAGATTACGAGGTCAGTAGATCGAGACCATCCTGGCCAACACAGTGAAACCCCGTCTCTACTAAAATACAAAAAATAAATAAAATAGCTGGGTGTAGTAGTACACATCTGTATACCCAGCTACTCATGAGGCTGAGGCAGGAGAATCGCTTGAACCTGGGAGGTGGAGACTGCAGTTAGCAGAGATCATGCCACTGCACTCCAGCCTGGCAACAGAGCAAGACTGTCTCAAAAAAAAAAAATGTAGTAAAGTACTTGTTGAAGAGCCTGGTACATAATAGTCACTTGGGTAGTTACTACTAATAAACAGCTCTGAGATGACAGTCACACTCTAACAGTAAAATTATTTCTTGGATTCTCCCACATTCTTCATTCTCCATCTCCTGAGATTAGAACAGGGGAGAAAAACCTGAGACCACAAAAAGAAGTGATCAAGAAACAAATGGCAGCAGTGGTTATCACTGCAGTTCCTATGAACTGCTTTGAGTCAGCAGTGAGGCATTTTTATTTTGCATTGCGTTACTCCCATAAAGTTAAACCTCAACTAACTAGAACCTTTGTTCCAAAATGGTGTTTGGAGTTGGGCACTGTGGCTCATGCCTGTAATCCCAGCACTCTGGGGAGGCTTGAGGTCAGGAGTTTGAGACCAGCTCAGCCAACATGGTGAAACCCTGTCTCTACTAAAAATACAAAATTTAGCTGGACGTGGTGGTGAGCGCCTATAATCCCAGCTAC